TTCAATCACATTTGGACTTGCCAACATTCATTGGAAATGCTCATCGATATTATAGCCTCCACAAAATAAGATATTTATCACCATCTATCATTACTTAACAACAGCTCAACTAACTCACAAAGTACAATTCGTCAGATAATGACGTCTTCCTTTTGGAATCCTGATCATAATCCAAATGACTTCTGTTTCATAGACCTCATTAAAGGCATAGTACCGGTGAACTTATCTAATTCAATACAAACCATTACAAATGACAGTTGTATTACCATGTCACTCTTGTCACATATCTACCATCACATTTTTACTTCAGTTTCACAAATTTGGGCCGATAGATGTGAAATTTTTGCTAAAGCAGAAAAGATAGCTAACATCACTTTACAATACAAAACGAACAATTGGACCACAAGTGGTTTTTCTCACTCCCCACCTCCCTCCACACTTACTCCTTCATTCTTTGCTTCTTCCTTTAGGTATGGTACTGACTGGTCAAATTTTTGGGCAGGTAGCAACCACGCTCTTCCATCTGGATGGTTAAGTTTCCTTTTCTTTTGATTGGGTTATTAGTCTAGAATGGTGCAGGATTGACTTTGATTTGTTTGAACTAGTTTAGAATATTTATAAGTTTTTGTATTTTCTTTTCTTGTCTTGTATTTTATTTATATTTTACTTGCTTTAAATAAAGATCATGCGAAGCTACCGCACTTTAAAAAAAAAAAAAAAAAAAAAATGGTAAATTAATCTCAGAAGGTCATTTTCTAGCTCACGCCCCATATAATACATGTAGATCAATTTGTAGATCAATCTTGCAAATCATTCTATTGATCAATTCTGCAAATTCCTTTTGTAAATCGATTTTGCAAATCACTTTGTAGATACATTTATAGTAGCTTTTTTTTATTATATAATGATAGGATATAGCTATAGAATGACTAAGAATCTTAACTTAAAAACCTCTAAACTTACAATTTTATTATATAACTAAGTACATAATTCTATGACTTTTTTGAGGCTTATTTACTACTTTTATATCAACAATATTAAGACTTCAAATCCAGGCAAACTAGCTACTTAGCATTAGCAATCTAGTAATATTAGTATTTACTAAAGATAGTTCCCATAATTGTTTGTAAATTTCATTTGAGTTGCAATTTAGTTGCGATATTAATAAATTTAATTGCAACATAAATTGCAATACTATTGCAACATTTTTTGGTAATTACAGCATCATCTTTAGTATTTACATTTTTATTGAAAAAAAAAGTTGAGCATATCCTAATTTTTAAGATCTATCAAACTAGATAGCCTTATCATGCTGTTAAAAACTTAGAAATTAAATCTAACCTCTACCTTAAAAATGCTAAGATATCATGATAGATAAAAATAGTATAATATCAATTATTAATATTTTAGACTATTGTTTAATTCTAAGTTATATAGTATTTATCATTGATCTGTTATATTTCTATTATCAAAAATAGATTTTCATATATATAATATGATACTTATCTATTACAAATCAGCCCTTTATATAGTTTTAAATTCAATCACTTTTCTATACATTAAATTACTTACTAGCATTATCTGTTATCAGAGTGATATATAGATGAAGTGATCTTACACAACTTATGACATAGGAACTATTAGTAAGGCCAAAATGGGAGTTCTAAGACAAAATTTTTTAAATAGTACTCAGTAAGTTTCCTTATCACTTACGAATCCATTTTAACTATATAAATCAAATTATCGAATTTAAGTCTCTAGCACGATTTGACTCCAAAAATCCAAAAGATATCTAGAAAGATTTCTAACCATCTATGAATCAATTTTAGCTATATAATTCAAATTATCGAATTTAAACCTCCAGCGTGATTTGACTTAAATCTAGATGATGATATTGATTTTGGCTAGGAATTGACCTATTTGATACCAAGAATTACACTGTTTGATACAACCATTCTAGCCAGATTTTAATTCCAAATAATATCAAAAAAAATTTACTATTCTGTTTGCATCTGGAGGAGCTATCGAAAATTAAGGAATGAAATAACACGATTTGAGTTGAGTCTGAAATTGCAAATCCAATATGAATATTAACTTTTATGCTATTCTACTTGTTTTTGGAGGGGTCATCAAAAATCAAGGAACAAAGTGACACCATTTGAACTATGCCTGACATGCAAGTCTAAAATGCAATAAGTCTAACCTCTTCGAGGTTAGAATTATCTATTATCTAGTTTGTAAATCAAAAGCTTAATGATTATGTTTTAGCATGTTATCAATTTATCAATACCATTCTAAAGCTATTTTATTTATACAATTTTAGGACAAAAAAATTGCACTTTTCGACTACCTATATATTAAATCTAATTGCAAAAATAAGTCTAACTTACCAGATATATATGCATGCTAAGTCTAACCTCCTTCTTTGATCAAGACCTTCATTAGATAATTTATCAGATAATCTATCAGATCAAGAAAAGAGATAGACTACATCCCACAGTCCTTAGACAAGGAAGCATATTGATCAAATATCTAAGCCTTATCCTAAAGCCTATTCATATAGCAGATCCTTTTTTCTCATTATAGTTTGAAAAAAGACAACCTATCAAAGCTAATAATTTAGATAGATTATCTCTTGAAGGTCTTGACTGAAGGAGAGACATAGGATTAATTATTTTAAATTGAAAAAAAATTTACATATATATTAAAGATTAGACTTACATTAGTATTATGACAAGAAGTGATAAAAAAATTATAAATGTATCTGTGGTAGAAAGGCTTTCTCTATGCTACAAAAACTTCACTAGCATTATAAAAGTAATAAAAATCAATATAGTTTATCTTTAGAGAATAATACTAAAAGGAGTGTACCTAGACCTCAATCACCATCTCCAGCTCTAATTGATCATGTTCGAGGAAGAAATCAAAAAAAGGAAAGCCAAGAGTAGCTAATCCAATTTCAGATCTACAATTAGTAATCCAAACTCCAGTTCCAGAAACTGATCCTAGCAAGGTTGAGTAATAAGACGCTCATAAGGAACCTAGGATAGTTAAGCGATAAGATGCTCAGAGAGAAGATATTCAAGAGAGCAAGAGTACTTGAACGAAACTTGTGAGGCAATTAAGTGATATAGAACTTCTTAAGAAGCTGGGTATAATAAAAGAAACACAAACAAAAAGAATAATAGGACAGATTAAAGGGTTAACTATACTTGGTAATTCAGAAAGTCATGCTCCAGAAGGTAATATACATTTTGAAGAAAAAAGAGCTAGAGATCCAAATAGATCACATAGAAATCTGCAATCATTAAGCAAATGGGAAGCCATAGTTCCTAGAATGGCAAACCCAGCATATGCTTTTAATGATATAGTAAATTGAGCAGATTATGCTGTAGTTCCATATATGTCTCAACTAATAGCATCAGCTCAAGAAGAAATTACAAGAGTTCTTCAAACAGAGCTTAATAGAAGAATCAGATAAAATCAGCCTTAGTTATATACTGTAATTACTATAAAATAGAAGAGGATAAAATTACTAAAGAAATAATATATACATTTGCTGAAAAATATCATAGAGAAAAGTTATGTACAATTCTCTTTGAAAATGGTATAGATAAATATTTAACTTATTCTGATTCAGAAATAGATAAGAAAATTGATAAGTTTCTTAATAATAGATCTGGTTGGCATTTAATTTGAATTAATAAGGTATTTATTGAGACATATACTTACTAACAAGCAACAGGAGGATCTCACATTAATACTCCCAAAATACTTGTCAATACAAAGTGTACAATCAATTCAGATAATAAAAGTCTCATTGATTCAGAGACAAAAAAGCCTTTTGAAAAGTGTCTTCAAGGCGCAGTAGGTATCTTTTTCACTCATCAGGATGGATATACAGATTATCTTGAACGAATTTTTAGAGCTAAGAAGCTTAAATCCTACTTAGATATTGTTAAACTAGATAGTATTCCTATGCCTATCCCTATTTGTTCACGTATATTTAATAAGATTGAGGAAATGAATCCAGATATCTCCATCAATGTCTGGGAGTAGAAAGAGAAATTGAGTACACCCCTCAAGCAAAAACTATGATAGACCACATATTATTCATTTAATGTTCTTTACATAAATTAGCAAAAATGAGGATACAGGTAAGTATAGGTAAAGGATCATGATGGATTAATATTCAAAGATACAGTTCATCATGGCAAAAGATTTCTTTGTAATCGAAGTACGATTAGTTTTCCATCCAAAAAATCTAGAAATCATCATCAAGATCATTGCTTTGGATGGGATGAAAATTATCAAAGAGTCGAAATGCCAGTAAAGGGAATTAATGACTTTGAGTAATTCAAAAATTATGGTCAAATGATCAATACTCCATGTGTTATTATAGCTGATTTCGAGGCTGACAACAAGAAATATGATTAAAAATATAGTGGAAGCATGTGAAAACTTGTCGAACAGAAAGCCAATAGTTTCTGCTATCTAGTCCACTGGATTGATACTGGAGACATATGGGTCCATTTCTATACCAGGGAGAAAATGCTACACAAGAGTTATCCAAAGGATTTATCAAGAGCTAATCCATATCAATAAAGTCTTAGCCATCAAATATGAGTGAATTGAGACTGAAGAAAATAAGAAAAATTTCACAGAGACAGTTAACTGTTGGATCTGTAAAGGTAAGTTTGATATAGATATAGATGAAATTGAACGTCTAGAGGACAAAATAAATAGTCTTAAAGAGAAGCTAGAAGGGTTTAGCTAAATATAATGGTATCGAAACAACCATTGATAAAGCGACTAAGGCAATTGCTAGTAAAAAAGCTAAAGCCAATAAGGTCTAAATACAAGATTGGAAGACCCTAATTCCAGTTATCTTTCACAACTTCTGGGATTATGACTCTCATTTAGTTTGTAAATCTGTTAGATGATCTGTTAATATACATCAAATCAATGTCATAGCTGAAACTTTTGAGTATTATAAGTCTATGAAAGTAGGCCAGCTTAAGTATATTGATAGCATGCAGTTTATAAATACTAGTCTAGCTAATCTTACAAAGAATTTGGATAATAACCATCCAATAACAACTCAGCATTTCAAAGATTTATCTCTTAACAAATTTCTCTAGTATGTTATAAGGGAGTTTACCCCTATAAGTATATTGATTTTCATGATAGATTCTTAGAAACAGAACTTCCTCCTATTCATGAATTTCATGGACAACTTAGGGAAAAATTATCTAAGAAGATTATCTTCATGCTCAGAAAGTGTGAAAGGAATTTAGATGTAAGAATTTAGGTGAGTATTATGATCTCTATCTTAAGACTGATGTACTTAGCCTTATAGATATTTAAACACAGTTACGAAAAATATCTATAAAATATGATGGGCTCAATCCTAGTCATTATGTTTCTCTTCTATTATATTCTTGGAATGCTATGTTAAAAATAACTGGAATTAGGATCGAACTTTTCACAGATATGATCATGCATGATTTTATTGAAAAAGCAAAACGTGGGGGTATATCTATGGCTTATCAATGATATTTTAAGGTCAATAATTCTAAGATGGGAAAAGCTTATAACCCATCCCAGCCAACTACATATATCTCATATGTTGATGTAACTAATCTTTATGGATAGGATATGAGTCAATACTTATCTATTGGAAATTATCAATGGGAGGTTAGCTGGAAATATTTAATCAAAAGTTCAGCTAAGCAAAAAGAATATCTTGAAAGGATTCTTAAGACTAAGACAGATGCTAAGCGAGGGTATTTTTTAAATATTAAGACATATTTCTCTCTTAAAATCTATAACTATTTAAGAAACTTGCCTCTAGCTATAGAGAATGTTGCTTTAGGAAAAAATATGTCTCTATAATTTAGAGCTATTAAAGAAATTAGATAATGATCGCTTTTCTGCAACAAAAAAATTAGTCTCACATCTTAGCCTATGAAAGGATTTATGTCATCCATTATCAAGAGCTTCAATACTATATGAAATTAGGTATGATTGTAGATGAAATTTTAGAAATCCTTCCTATCATTCGATCAGACTAACTGGCTCACCCCATACATAGCATTTAATACTAAAAAATAATAAAAAGATAAAAAAGTTGGAAATACATTCCGGAATGACTTCTTCAAATCAAGAATAATGCTGTATATAGCAAGACTATGGATAAAGATGGTACAGCAATTGATTTCAAATTTACAAAATGTTGCAACATAAGCTAAAATTAGTTGCAACATATGTTGCAACATTATAAGTTGCAACATATATAGGTTAAAACTAATTGCAACGTAAGTTGCAACATTAAAAGTTGCAACATATTAATTACAGTTCCCATCTTTACTCCAGGAGATAAACCAGTTATTTCATGGGAATTTTCATGAATAATTATTACAAATCGAATTGTAGAATCTTATATATGATGATGTAATAGTAAGAAACTTTTTTGGTAATCATTTTATAATTTATTTGACTAGTAACAAATTGTTTTATAAATTCTTAAAAAAAAAAATATTAAACATTTTTTTGATAATTTTTAATTTATTTAAAGAAAAAAAGATTTAATTTTAAAAAATTTAAAAAAAAAAATTTTGAAGACTTAACTTATTCAAAGAATTGCTTTAAAAAAAAACACAAAAATAAAACTATTATTTTTTATATGTTAAAACAAAATAAAAAATTTTCATTCAGTATATAAAATCATTTTTGTTTCTAAAAAAAAAATAAAAGAATTAGTAAAGAATCTAACTTCAAAGAAACTTCAGACTTACCAATTATGTGAAGAATCTATTTCTATAAAAAAAAGAAGCAAAAGTTAGTAAAGAAAAAAAAATCCTAAAGAAATTCCAAAGAATCTATTAAAAGAAAAAAGACTTACCTATTCAACCATTTGAAGAATCTGTTCTAAAAAAGAAGCAAAAATTAGTATAGAAAAGAAAAAAACTCAAAAAAATCCCAAAAAACCTAAAAAAAACTAATCATTTGAAAAACCCATTTCTAAAAAAAAGAAGCAATAACTAGTATAGAAAGAAAAGAAACTCAAAGAAATTAAAAGAATCCAAAGAATTCAAGAAGACTTACCTATCTAGAATGAACAAAAGATCTATTTCTAAAAAAGAAGCAAAAGTTAGCAAATAGAAAAAAGGAATCTCAACGAAATCCTAAAGAATCCAAAAAAACTTACCTATCTAGAACAAACAAAGGATCTGTTCCTAAAAAAAAAAGTAAAAATTAGTAAAGAAAAAAAAGAAATCTAAAAAAACTTCAAAGAATCTAAAGAACTTAAGAAGAATTAATAAATAAAGGATCTATTCTTTAAAAAAAAAGCAAAAATTAGTAATGAAAGAAAGAAATCCTAAAAAAAACTCCAAAGAACCTGAAAAACTAAAAGACTTATTTATTTAGAATGAACAAAGAATCAATTCCTAAAAAAAGAAGCAAAAATTAATAAAGAAAAGAAAGAAATTCCACAAAGAATTCAAGAATCTAGAATGAACTAAAGATCTGTTCTTAAAAAAAAAGCAAAAAATTATTAAATAGAAGAAAAAAACTCCAAAGAAACTCTAAAGAACCCAAAGAACTCAAGAAGACTTACCTATCCAAAATGAACAAAGAATCTATTCCTAAAAAAAAAAGCAAAAATTAGTAAAGAAAAAAAAATCTTAAAAAACCTTTAAAGAATTCAAAAAAAGCTTACCTATTCAAACAAAATATCTATTTTTAAAAAAAAAAAAGTAAAAAGAAAATTAGTAAAGAGAAGAAATCTATCCTTTGAAAAAATTCCAAAAGAAGTTTACTTTATCTAAAAAAAAAGTTCCTATTATTTAAAAAAAAAATTAAAATTTTAAATATAAATAAACTAAATCATAAAAAAAAAATTAAAATTAAAGAAAAAAGCAAATAAATGATTATTCAATAATCAAAATGATTTGAAAAGTAAATTTTGATATCCAATCAATAATCAATATTCAAATCAATTTTAATATCTAAAATGATTTTTGATATTTAAAATCAATTTTGATATTTGAAATGATTTTTGATATTTAAAATTAATTTTAATATTCAAAATAATTTTTGATATTTGAAATCAATTTCGATATCTAAAATGATTCAAATATTTGAAATCAGTTGATCAATTTCAATATTTAATTTTTTTATTTGATAAGCAAATATTCAAATATTTTATTTTTAAACAAAAACCTTATGTTGATCAGAATTAATTATAATAAAAATACTTAAAAGTATTAAATATTTGTTTGTTTTATAAGTATGGTCTGGTATAAAAAGATATGTATCTTGCCAAAAAAGAAAAAGATTTACGCCAAGAATTATACTATATTACCAAACCAAAAATAGTCTAAATTTTATAAATTTTGATGAATATAACTAATTGCAACTTTTCCACAAATTTTTTTAGGTACTATGAGTACTTCTTCTTTAAAATGAGATGATGCACCATTAACAAATAACGAAAAATCAATGATAATTAATGTATATAATTATTTCTCTAGGGCTAAATTGATAGGAACAGATCATCAAAGCCTCCCTTTACGCAAGCGTGTTGCTAAAGTGTTTGGAATAGCAGAAAGTTCAGTTGGAAAGGTGGTATCTGATTGGAATAAGCTGATGGCACATTTATACTACATGGAATTTTCAGAAGACCTAAATATAAACTCGATGAAAATGTTTCAGAACTTCTACACACAAAAATATTGAACACTAACAAAACGGCTGAGCAAATTTTAACTCCTATCCTTCGGCAATATCTATCTGAACATGAATATACATTTTCCAAATGGAAATTTCTTCAGGTATTGCATTCTTTGGGCTATTATTATGGACAAGAAGAATGAAGAAATCTTTTATAAATCACCAAATAATGTTGCATTCCATTGTCAGTACCTTCGCTTTCAGTTTACTAATTTGGAAGGAAATAATAATGTTTCACATTGTCCAGAAGTTTTCCTTGATGAATCATATTGTCATTTGCATCATATTTCACGTAATACATAGGTTCCACATCAAGGTATTATTTTAGTATCTGAGCATGATCCACTAGTAGTAATTTTTAGAGTAATAATTATATTTCGAAATGAATCTTCTAACAAGTTATATGGTGAACTTGTTTCAAATTCTATCCATATTTGGGATCCAACAATTAAACCTTTAGGAAATAAGAAAAGAAGAAGAAATAATGCTAAGGAGTGGAGTGACATTCCCAATGTTATTAATGACGCAAATATAACTTTCAATCAAATTGATTATCATAGGAACTTCAATGTGAAAATATTTGAAGACCTTTTTAAAACTCTTTGTGAAATACTATATGAAAAGTATAGGCCAGTAAAAATTCACATGGATGGGGTAAGATATCATAAACGGCGAGTTGAAAATATTTCAACTTCAAGCACAAGAAAATAAGAAATAATTGATTGACTAATTACTCATAATATTGAATTTTCTGATGAGTTACGAAGGCCAGAACTTTTGGAGTTAGTCCAAATGAATAAGAAAAAGGTGCCATTTACTTGCGTCAAAATAGCAGAATGGTATAATCATCAAATTTTTTATCCCTCCTTATCATTGTGAACTTCAGCCAATTGAAGGTGTTTGGGCAGTTGTAAAAGGTGAAGTTGCAAGTTCAGGTCCACATCCAAACCTTTTGTCTATTCGAAACACACTATTAGATGCATTTAAAGAAAAAATTAACTCAAAAGTTATAGTTGGTCTTTGGAGGAGAACACTTAAATATGCCAAAGAATATTGTGAAATTGATGAGAATGCGCAATTAATTGAAGAAGATTTTGACGACTATGGTGATTCTGATGATGATTAATGATTTTAATTTAATTTTTATATTTTTATGTTTCTGAATATATATTGATATGATATAAATAAAAAATTTTAATTTTATTTAATAAAACATTTTATTTTTAGCATTTGCACCGGACCATATTTATAATAAAAGAAGTCTGTTATTTAATAATAAATAAATTTTTATAATATATTTACAAATCTCAGAATTAGCAGATTTGACAGCATAGTAAAAAACATATGATTTATTCTGTTAGATGATTATTGGTTGTTTTTTATATTATAATATATAATATTAAAATTGATAATTAATTGATATTATTATTAAAATGTTTCTTTATATAATACATTTTTGATTAATTTCAAAATTTACTACTAAACACACGTCATAAACGACTTTAAAAAATTTACATTAGCTTTAACGACTCGAAATTTCAACAAATATACAATGTATAACCCAATTTGTACCTTAATGAGACATAATATCTTTAGACAAAGTTTGCCTCGAAAATTAATCTCGAAAATGTATATTTCGCGAAATATACAGATTTATAATAATCGTACACAACTTTCAGAACGTCCTCCACATTTTCCTTCATATCCGCAATATGAACGTTTTCAAACTGCTGTGCCTTTTTATCAAAAACAAATGTTTTGGGTTTATACTAGCGCAGTGGGAGGACTTGGAGGAATATATTATGTGAGTCATTTAGAAACTGTACCAATTACTAAAAGACGAAGGTTCATTGATATCACCCCAAAGCAAGAGGAGAAAATGGCACAGCAAGCATATCATGAGATTATGACGCGATATGGCAAAAATATTTTACCACCTTGGGATAGTCGAACGAAATTTGTAAGAAAAGTTGCTCAACAAATTGTAAGAGTAAGTGGAATGCAAGGTATCATAATTAATTTTTTTTTGCGGTAATAATTTCTTTCATAAATTATTAAAAATGACATTAATGAATTATAGATTTGAAATGGGAATTTCATGTCATTGATTCCAAAGAAAAAAATGCTTTTGTACTTCCTGGTGGCAAAGTTTTCGTATTTACAGGAATTTTACCTATTGTTAAAAATGAAGATGGACTAGCTGCAGTTTTAGGACACGAAGTATGTTTTAGGGATTTTTTTTTTCTTGGATTTATTGAATAATTTCTTCAGATGAATAACGGATTTAATACTGTTTAAAGATTGGTCATCAAATTGCGCGTCATAGCGCTGAGAAACTTTCTTTTGTAAAAATTATATTTTTAGCTCAATTGTTCCTTAGTATATTTATGGATCCTGGTGTTCTTGCTCGACTCTTTATGGAGTTTGGTCTTATGTGAGTATCATTGAAATATTAAAACTTTAAATTTATTTATACAAATATACCGTGTTTTGATATTGCCTTTTTTCATAGGTTGCCTTTTTCGCGGAAATGCGAAATAGAAGCAGATTATATTGGACTTTTATTGATGTCTCAAGCTTGCTATGATCCTAGGGAAGCATCTAAAATTTGGGAACGAATGAGCGTTGCTCAAAAAGGTTCACCACCTCAATTTTTGAGTACGCATCCAGCTAATGAATCAAGGATTCATAAAATCCAAAAATGGATGCCAGAAGCATTACATAAAAGGGCAGAAAGCGATTGTGTACACGAGTATGCAGGTTTTATGGATACAATGCAACACTTTAGAGGACAATGGGTTAGATGGTAGAAAAAACCCCCATATACGACATAATTAATATCCCGTGTATAACATCATGGATATCTTTAACCAACCCGCAATATGTAAAGAGCTGCGATTAATGTAAGGTATTCTTAAGCTGAAAGAACCTCCGTTCTTGACTAATTCATAAGATATTTCAAAGATATCTAAAATGATAAAGTTATTCAACCTAATAAGATCAATAATTATAAAAAGTAAAACGAAAAAAAAATTCACAGAATTTTTTTCTTGTATGATTACAATGCAAATCGTTCTGCTTACTGACAATTTCTTTAATCTTCGCATTTAATTGATATGCCTAACGCGCGAAAAGCTTTATTGGCTGTTTTAATTTGCTGTCTGTGTATAATAACTTTTGAAAACATTTATTATTAAAATTTAATTCTTAATCATATGAAAGTGCCTTCGGGATTTCACAAAAATTTATTTTCTTACATAGTACATATATATAGTATGGAATAATAATTCTTTATTGGTTCCAAACCTTTGCATCGTTTGTTAAGAAAGTTAGATTTATTAAGTTAAATTATGTATGTTATAATAAATTGGTCAAATCGAATATATATAAAAGCCACACTCTATTATTATTAAATAAATCATTCAAAAATTATAATAAACTACATAATCTAAGTGCAAAGACTTAATAATAAAATATATCATGGAATTAATTATGTTCGATCAACATCGGGTTCAATATCAACACCACGTTTAATCTTACCCCATCCGATTAATCTAGGGAAAGATATTAACAATATTAGAGAAGAGCATATAATTACCGTTCCGAAACAAGCTGTTATAAGTACCTCCAATGTTTGTCAATTCTTCGGGATAAAGCAATCTTCTCGTCAATTTCAGTACAAGCAGGACTAGTCAATATAATTTTGGCCAAATCTGCTTTAACTGACATGACACGCCCACCGGTAGAAGTTGATCCTATGTTTACCATAAGAACCTCATTTTTGGTCAATTTTGAGACCTACATAAAAATAACATGATAGTTAAATTTATTTTCGTTGGGCAAGATATATTAACTCGTGATTCGGTGTTAAAGAAAAAATGTACAAATTTTTGTAGAAAATTAATCCTCCTTTTCTGACGTACTTCCGAAAGAAGGGATTGGCAACTTTGTAAAAATTACAATACATAATCCTCTCTTGTCCTTAGATAATCTTTTTTTCAATACTTAATTTTCGTTAGCCACCCGAAGATGACCATATTGACGTGTCACGCATTAATACTTTGTCTTAACTAACGTACCTTAGTCTGTTTCTTATCATCCGTTTTAACACCTAATAATCTTCTAAGTAAAAAGTAATTAATTTCGAGTTCAGTATAAATTTTGGGTAATTTGCCAACAGCACCAAGAACTTGGCCAACAAGACGATCCGCACGACAGAGCGTTGGATCAATCTTGGTACCAACACCTATTACATTAATATATGTTAGAATTTTTAATCTATAATAAGAAAGCGAATTTATGATTGATATAAATACAAACCAATCAAGCCACCGGGAACAGCAAATTTCAAATCATTATGTTCAGCAAATAATGTAACTATACGTGAAAAAATTGGACGACAATGAATTTGACCATCATTATCTTTGGTAAGGATTCCAGGTCGGACTTCTATTTCGTCACCGACCTGAATAAATATTATATCATTAATTTCCTTAATAAAATTAAATTATGTACAAATTGTACAAAATGTCTTTTAAATAAGTTACCTTCAAAACACCACGTAAAATCGATCCACCAGCTACACCACCTTTAAGCTCGTCAACTTCAGCACCAGGCTTATTAACATCGAACGATCGAATTACAATCAATCGAGGATCAGATGTGAAGTCACGAACCGGAATAGGAATCTTTTTAACAATGTATTCATTGATGGCATCAATATTATATTTCAACTGCGCTGATATGGGTACAATAGGGGCACCATCAGCAACAGTACCTTTAATGAAATAAGAAAAATGGTTCTAAAAACAATTTAAAAAAAAAATCCAACAAAATTTTAATTAAAGTAATAAATTTAAATACCTTTAACAAAGTCTAAAATACTTCTATAATGTTCTTCGCAAGCAGTGTCTTTACATAGATCGACTTTGTTTTGTAGAATTATAATATGTTTCAATTTCATAATTTCAATGGCAGCCAAGTGCTCGCTAGTTTGAGGCTGTGGGCAAGATTCATTACCGGCAATCAGTAAAAGCGCGGCATCCATAACAGCCGCACCGTTTAACATAGTAGCCATAAGAATGTCATGACCGGGGCAATCTACAAATGAAACGTGTCTGAATTGAATTGATTCAATTTTATTGGAATCAAGTAGAGAAATAATAATTAGAAAAAAAAATAATAAAACGGGTTGATTCCAAAAATAATAAGAATATAATACCTTAATAATTTCATCTTACCACCACATCCAGGTCTCTCACAGGGAGGATTCTCTTCCTTATCGCTACGATATGATTTATAACATCCCGGACGGGGACAATCTTCCTTTTCACATTTGTACACCTAAAAATGGTCATTGTCACTTTCTTAATCGATTGAATAGGATTCTTATTAATTCTTGAATGAACATCAATTCACCTTAGCATTAGCATAACCCAATTTAATAGTGATATTACGTTCAAGCTCATTTTTGAATCGAACGGTCTGTTACAATAAGTTTCAAATAAATATTCGAAATAAGTACCGAACTTAATTTCGAACGTATTAATTTAAGTCAATCAAACCTGAACACCAGAAATCGCTTTCACTACAGTAGATTTACCGTGTGCTACGTGACCAATTGTTCCTGTGTCGAAATAAAGCTTATTATATAAGTAAAAAAAAATATGAAAAAATATACAGACAAAGTGATCAAAAAGAAAAGCATACCAATATTGATAGTAGCTTGCCTTGATATAACTTCTGGAGAAAGAGGATTCAATGTGGAAGGATCAATGTTAATATTTTCTTCTGCTTTTTCTTCAGTCATTTTGAAACGTAAAGTATCTTTTATAAATCTATCAAGGGATTACATTTTCAGTTTTATAGATCTTATCATCAGATTATTCATTATGACCCACAATTTGGTGTAACAACATACCTAAAATGTATAAAAATATTAACGAATACGCGTCAATATGATTCGGGTCAATATTTTCTCCTAAGCCTCATCAAGGTTTTCTTAAAAATTCGCGACCAGCTGTTATTAAGATGAGAGTAACCTTTGCGCAGCAACTCCATATTACAAATTTAATATCATACGAAGGAGCAACTACTTTAACTACTTTCTACTGTATCTTTTTTATTTTTTAGGGAGATCTTATATTTGATCAATGTGGCGTTATATCTATTGAGGAAGCAATTACTGTTAAAAATAATTGAAATTCAGGTAAAATTCAACAAAATTATATATAACAATAGTCCTGGTTATATCTGGTTATATGAACACACATATCTGATTTATTTATATTCCACCTAATGCTACGATAATTTTTGAATAATACCTGGGTATTAATAAATTTTTTAAAGAAAAAATAGGAATTTAAAGAAAATATTAATGATTGATATATATGTATAATTAAAGTTGGAATGTGTCCCTCGGGTTCTATTCAAGTTGGGTTATTTTTTGCTTGAATAAGACCAGGTAATACATTCAGTGCTATATGGTAATTGTTATAGATTATAATACTTTCAACTACCAAAGCCAAAGAACTCACTATATGATAGTGACATCTGAATATTCCTACAGAGATAGGATTGTTTATGTATGTTTTTCTAAACATTGTTTATGTTGAAACATAGTTTTTCTCCAACAATCTTCTATCTTTTGAAATATATGGAATATTAATATATAGTTAGTTATATTGCTAAGAAGATGAAATCAAAAACACAAATCGTAAAGATTAGAAAAATTCTGCAAAATCACAAAGGAAATAACATTCTGTTGGATGGGATTATAAAGCTATATAAGTTATTATATTAATAATGAAGATAATTATCAAATAGGGTTTGGTGAGATAAGTAATGCTTACATATATGATAATAAAACAATAATAGTTAAAGTATAAGTAGAAAATTAGTGCAAATTTTGTAAAACTGAAATATATTAAGTAAAATCAAATAATAAGATAGTAAATCATATGATTCATTATGTGCAATACTTCCATTTTACCGATCATATATATGAACTATCACATTATATTGTCTAGATTTTAAGCTTCGGATAAAGCTATAGTTGTTCAAGTAAAAAAAAAAGATAACATAAAAGTTAGCTTTAAGCTGAAATTTTTAATAATTCGGATATATGCCGATCATGACAGATCTTCAGGTGAAACCTGAATATTTCATCATATATTTATTTTTTTTTAGGATTATAAGGTAAAATGAAACCCGCCCAATTCGCTTGAAACCAAAAGTTTTCTATATGCTATTTACAGCCAATTTTTTTTAAATAAGCAGAAAAAATGATTTAGCAAAAGGTATTATACAAAAAAAAAATTGCCTTTTTTTTAAAAAAATACAATAAAACATTTTTTATAAAATAAATGGATAATATTTCTAATTCTTCAAGAATTTTTAACTTTAATACTAATAAATGTAAAGAAAAAATAAGATTAGTTACAGATAATATTAAAATACCAAAATCTAATGAATCTATTATTTCAGTTGGAATGTATTTATGTTAAATACATTATAATCATTTTATTCTCAATGAAATAAGCATTAATGATAATAAAAATTGTGAATACCTAAAACATGATGAGTATAATAGTCAATCATAAAATGTAAATAAAAAATCAAAAAAACTTAACCTTGAAAAGATTTCAAAAAGATTGGTTTCAATTTTATAATTAAATAAAAATGCTAAAATCTGTAGTTTATGTAGAAAGAAAACAGATAAAGATCCTAATTATAATATCTTAGAAGAATATAATGTACTAATTTCTAAAAAAAAAAAAAGATAATAATGATATATTGCAAATAGAAAATCATACTTATATACAGTGGACAACAAAAGAAACGCAAGTAGAGTTGCTTGCCTTTAAAAACTTATAACTCACCAACCACGAATGCTAGAAACATGGTTTTATATTTGTTTTAAACCCCAAAACCTAGCTAATATTTGGTAAAAATTTGAAGTGCGATTATTAAGAGCAATTTTGAGCAATTTAGCGATTTACATCAAATTTCTTATTTAATGAAATTTAAGTGTAGAAAATTTTTCAGTAGGCTGACTACATAAAAACCGATACTGTATTCAGATTCTCCTCAGTGTCACGATTCTAACAAGCTAAAATTCATCTAAATCAAATCAGTTTTTTTTTTTTTTTTTTTTTTTTTTTAGACATAGTAATATAATTTTATTAATAATAAATTTATAAATCAAATAATACAAAGTAAAAAGACTAAAGTACTATCTATATGATTCAACATAAATAAAATTATTGTTTAGAGACATTAAAAAAAACCTATAAAAGACCAGGTCCCTCCAAACCAGCTGGTTGTCTTGTCGAGTTCAAAAATAAATGTATAAACATAAGTTCTATCATAACTGTTCGTTAAAAGAGAAAAGTTTGAAATTAAAGAAAAATTGAAAATAACTAGCTATTACTGATCTAAGAAGATGTCTAATCCCTTCCATGAATTATAGAAAGTCTGACTAAATCAATCCAATTTGTAAAAATAAGTTGGTTGAAAAAAGATGAGGAATTAATATGTCGATTAAAAGTGAATGTTGAAGAGCGATCATATTTTCTTTTTTGTTTATCAGAGATATGTAGAGCTTTTTCTTTTTCAATCATGAGTTCACATCTAGGGAGTCAAAGATCGTGATGAGTTCGATTATAAAGGTACATGGTAGTGTTTGAAAGGATATTAAAAGTGGTTTTCTGTAAGTTTGTAATATATTAAATATGATTGAAAAGGTTCAAAGGAATAATGCCTTTAATCAGATTGATAAAGGTTAAGGAATAGTTGTTAGAGGCGATAGTTCAAAGATCATCAGTGTTTAGATAGTCAATTAATGCGGTAGAAGGAGTAAAATGCAGTGTGGTAAGTTGATAAAGTAGGAAATTTTTAGAACAATCTATTATATCTATCATAAATCAATAGGACTATTTCTCTAAATGTTTGTATAATCAGTCTCAGATGTTCTCTCCCTTGTTCTCTTTGGTTGTGAAGTGGTAGATTCAGCTTCATCATTACGCCTTTTACTTCCTGAGACTAAATTACTGAAGATCGTTCTGATTTTTACAACAGATTTTGTAGATTTTATGATTTTTGGCATTTTAAATTTTGAATTAAAAGAATTGCGTAGTTAATTGAGTTAATGTATTGATGCAGTTTTTTGTTGTGTGTATAATTAGTCGAGATTGAGAAATACTTCGCATATTTATAGATATTTTCCAAAATACAAAATTTTATTATTATAAGAATAATTTATAATAATTAA